ATCACCAGCTGGCAAAGTAAGTTGGTGTCATTTAGGCAGATGCTTCTAATGAGAAGTTTGTTCTTAGCTCATGTGGTAATGGGGAGTTATTGAACACTGTTGAGCAGGGCTGTGCCTTGGTTGGACTTACTCTTGACTATAGACGGGAGAGGGAGAGACTGAATCTGGATAAGTCACTGAGGAGGTATTAGGAGATAATCCTGGCTCATTCATAGGACAGAGAGAAAGTGAGGGGTGGAAAGGCAGGGAGTAAAAGCCCAAAGTCGTTCTAGTTGCTATTCATTCTTACTTTAAGAAGTGTGAGATTCCTGGAGCACAGCTTTAAGTTCAAAAGTCATAAAAGGAAAGATTGTTATATTTAACTACATAAAACTTTGAAAATTCAAAAATGCCATAAATAAAGTCAAAGGCAAGGAAAGACTGGGAAAAATATTTGCCACACATATGATAGAGGGTTTATCTCCCAAATATATATAAAGACCTTTTGTATTTCAGAAATAAAAAGATAACAAACAATAAAAAAATGCACAGAGGACATTAATAGACATGTCACAGGAAAAAATACAACGGTCATTAAACATGAAAATGTAATGATGATAATTAACATTTATATTCACTTATGCCTTTAATTTTCACAATAACTATATGAAGAATGTATTATTATCATGAATCCCATCTTTTTTAAGATTTTTTTTATTTTTTCATTTGACAGAGAGAGAGAGAGAGAGAGCACAAGCAGAGGGAGCAGCAGACAGAGGGAGAGGGAGAAGCAGACTCCCCGCCGAGCAGGGAGCCCGATGCGGGTCTCTATCCCAGGACCCTGGGATCATGACCCAAGCCGAAGGCAGACGCCTAATAACTGAGCCACCCAGGAGTCCCATGAATCCCATTTTTTGATAAGGAACCAAAAACATAGGTTCAGTAAATTACCAAAGTCACCCAATTAATAAATGGTTGGGTTGGGACTTGAACCCAAGCAGTCAAGGACCAGAGTTTGTTTTCTGAAGCTTATGCTACGCTTCTTGCTCAATATCACCTATTCTAAAAGAAATTCAAAATAAAAGTATAACAAAACATCATTTTTTATATATCAGATTGGCAAAGATAAAAAAGTTTGGTGGATGATTGGGAAAACTGGGAGGGAGCTAACACTCACGTATTGTTGGTAGAAGTATGAACTGGAACAATAATTTTGGAGGCAATTTGGCAATATCTATCAAAATTTTATATTTTTATTTATTTATCTTTTATTTTTTATTTTTTTTAAATTTATTTATTTCACAGAGGGAAGGAGAACAGAAGCAGGGCGAGCGGCAGGCAGAGGGGGAGGGAGAAGCAGGCTCACTGCTGAGCGAGGAGCCTGATGCGGGACTCGATCTTAGGACCCTGGGATCATGACCTGAGCCGAAGGCAGACCCTTAACCGACTGAGCCACCCAGGCGCCCTATCTATCAAAATTTTAAATACACATTTGCTTTGACCTAGAAATTTCCTTTCTAGCATTTTTCTAAGGGATGTACAAAGGGAAACATGCAGAGATGTTTATGGTACCCTGTTCATAATAGCAAAAGATTGGAAACAAGCTAAATATCCATCAATGGGGAATTTGGTGTGTGGATTATGAGAAAAACTGATAAGAATAATAAGGCCTATCTATTTGTATACTATAGAACAATTTCTTTTTTTTAAGATTTTATTTATTTATTTATTCATTTGTTTGTTTGTTTGTTTGTTTGACAGAGAGACAGCAAGAGAGGGAACACAAACAGTGGGAGTGAGAGAGGGAAAAGCAGGCTTCCCGCTGAACAGGGAGCCCGATTAGGGGCTCGACCCCAGGACCCCGGGATCATGACCCGAGCCGAAGGCAGACACTTAACGACTGAGCCGCCCAGGTGCCCCTCTATGGAACAATTTCTAAGATATATCCAATGAAAAAGACAAGGAGAGCAGGGTGTAGAACATGCCAGGGCATATGCATCTCCATTTACGCTCACCAGAGAGCAGTGTCTGCCCCTGGGGAATGGGAGCTGGGGGTCTGGGTCAGGGATGAGAAGGAGTAAGTTTTTTCACTACATATGTTTTGGTATTGTTGAAAAACATGTTTGACATGTTCCTGGATCATGTTTTCAAAGATAAAAATTTACAATAAAATATGGAACAAAAATCACAAGGGAAGATGCGATTTCCATTTCACTCAATGTCCAGCTTGTCACCCCCTTGGTTCCAATGGGAAGGAGAGGTGGGTTGTGCTGTGGGGTTGCACACAGAACTGAAGGACAGGGAGCCAGGGCTTGGGAGTTCAGTGATCTTTACCAGGGATTTACCAGGGAAGAGATATCTTGCCAGGTGGGCATTATTTTAAGATAAGAAACATGCAAATTCTCTCTTTTTTAATGTCCCATATATCGAATTTATTTCCTTTCTTTAAAAACACACACACACAAAGAGAATTAAAGTCCCTTTTGAAAAATTCCAGTCTGTTTCAGGTAAACTAGGAGAGAAGGATTTTGCCCCTGCCTAGGCAGAGTGGTGCAACCATAGTGGGAGTCAGGGCAACTCGGGGGCCAGGGGTTGGCAAGCACCCATAAGTCACTCTTTTCTCACCTCTGGAGTGGTCCTTCACAAGCCTAGCTCAGACACAGACACTGCCTAAGCCACCTATGGCTTAGGCAGTGTCTGTGTCTGAGCTAGGTTGAAGCAGTTGGATGGGGTAAGAGACATGGAGGAGACTTTAGGGTGGGGTGTGCGGACTTCTGGGATTTTAGAGAAAGAGAGAGGAGAAAGAGAAGCTAAAAGAAGGCCTGAGTAGCTGAAGCCCAGAAAGCAAAATGGTACAAAAACAAGGCTAGGAGGGTGCGTTTTATTTTTCATTTTAAAATTTTCTTTATTATTATTATTATATTTAGAGAGGGAGGGGGCAGAGGGAAAGAGAGAATCTTAAGCAGGCTCAGTCTCAAAACCCTGAGATCATGATCTGAGCCAAAATCAAGAGTCGGACCCTGAACCAACCACCCAGGCGTCCCTAGGAGGGTGCGTTTTAGAAACAACACTATACAGAACAACTTCGTGGACTTCCTGGTGCACTTGTTCAATACTTTCTTTAGAATAAAGTTGTAGAAGTTGACCATCTAGGTCAAAGTTTCTGTGAAATTTTGATTCACATCACCAAATTGTACTCCAATAAGATTTTATCAGTCTCACCCAGGTGGTGTGTGAGTTTCCGTCTGCCCCTATACCTTGTGCCGATCATTTTGGAGAGCCTGTCCTGATTTGAGGGAGTTCCTATCAGACATCCTTCCTTTTCTCAATAAGATAAGAGACAAGGTCCTAGACCGAGCTCAGAATGAGGGGCTTGGGGGTAAGACTGGGGCTCAAGGAGAGTGGAGGAGGGGAGAAGGACCAAACTGAGAAGACTCAGAGCAGCTGCTGTGGGAAAAATTAAGCTGTGAATGGGGACAGGCGAGACCTGATGGTGGTTTATCCAACTGTGTTTTTCTTCTTTGCTTGCTCTTTAGGACAATCTCCTTTGCTCTGTAGGTGCTTTAATGAGGATTTCTGTTTTTAATTTTAAAAAGAGAATTGGGTGGACAACTCAACTTAACTACAAAAGCATTAATTTAATGCCTATTATGTGCCAATTACAAGGCATGCAAAAAGCATCCCAAGCTGCTCCCGTCCAATAGCAGACACAGACCTGTTGTTAGTCAAGGACCACGATGCTGTGTAATACTGGGCTGATAGAAGGAAAGGTTGCAGATGTTAACGCCAAAGAAAGAGTAGCTGCTCTATGAGGTGGAGCCATGCTCTGAGGGAAGGCTTGGCAGGGGGGCCCGGTCTGAGTCCAAGTTTTTTCCCCCTAAAGATTTTATTTATTTATTTGAGAGAGAGAGAGAACGACTGGGAGAGGCGGGGGTGGGGGGGGGGGGAAGAGAGTCTCAAGCAGCCTCCAGGAGCCCACCAGCTTCTCTGTTGTTCTCAGTCCTTATCGCCTTCCCTGCTTCTCCTCCCCTCACCGTCTCAGAGGAATCTTCACTGTTTATTTTTGGGGAGTGTAGAGGAAGGCTGGAGAGAAGCCCTGCTCTCATTCAAGATGTTTCTCCTAAATATTTTAATCTTGCCCAGACATCAAAGCTTGTGTTTTTCCATTTCTCCCTGTCACACCCTTCCCTTGAGGCAGAAGCTGCTTGCCGATGAGCTGGGGTAGGGGGTGGGGCGTGGGGGCAGCAGGGAGCTCCCGAGAGGAAAAGCATCAGTCATTAGCTCCAGAATGTTTCCTGCTTCGTTTTCCTGGTTGGTCCTGAGGCCACCAGCCACCTGGTAGCCCAGGAGACTACCTGCAAGTAATGTAGTAAGTGAAAATCACTTGGGGACCGATCTTGCAACTGAGATCTCCAAGGTGGCGATTTATCTTCGCAAAATGAAAATACACGTCAGGCTGTGCGGGCTAAGCATGGCCTGGGTTTCACTGGAAGCTTTCGTTTTTCCTGAGCCGTTGGTGGGAGACTCAGGCTTAGGAACCCCACCATGGGTCCACATCCCGGTCTCAGTGCCTTGGGTCTCTGGCCCCTTAGTTTTGCCTACGCTGTCCGCCCACTTCAGGAAAGGATGAATTTTGGGGGGGTTGGTGTCATAAGAAGTGGGGCCATGGGATCAGGAGCCTCATAGGGAGGGAGTGGCCTGTTAGCCTGGGGTCCCAGACCCCGTTTTGTCCAGTTGACACAGGGGCATCCCAGCCCCAGCCAGATGGCCGCTTCTGTCAGCTTCAGGCCACATGCTGACTTGGTATCATCCTTGGGCTGCTGCCCGCGAAGGGTTTCAGGGGAGGGGACAGTATGACCCACAACTGGGAGAGGAGCTCACAGGGCACGAGAGGAACTCACGGGAGGCAGAGGGTGAGGAGACAGAGGATAAGGGTTGCGAGAAGCGGCTGAGCAGAGAGGGCGGCTGCCGAAAATGACGAAGTCTGATAATCTTCCGTCTTCACAACTTTTCATCCGAAGCATGAAATGTAATCAGATGTTTGAAGAACCCGGAGAAACAAACGAACAACCTCCAAGAGCGGAAAATGGAATCTGAGGGCAGGTGCAGCATCTGTATCATTACTCCAGTGAAGACAGATACTGGAACTGGCTGTGAGGTTGGTTTTGGAAATCCTGTTCTGTTGCTATGGCTAAACAGGCCCTGGGGGGGAAAATCGCTTTTCATTTCCTGAGATAGGATGGGTAGGAATGGGGTGGGAGGAAGTGGTCATGAATCTCTGGAGACAGCAGCATCCAAGCCCTCCTCAGCCAGGGAGAGGTCAGATTGAAACCAGATGGCAGCTATGTCACGACAAAGGACATCTGCTGGTGGGAGGGCACATCCTGAGCCAGGGGGTTCCCATGTCTGGTGCCAACACACCCGTGGCCAGGAATGGCGGTTAGCCTTTCTTGAGCTCCTACTGTATGCTGGGGAGGGCTGTTGGGGCACCCAACCTAGGCCGTTCACATCGTATTCCAAATGAATGCCATTCCTTGGAGTGTGTCCCACTTATTTATTGTTGCGCAACAAACCACCACAAAACTTAGCTTTTAAAAGCAACAATTTATGATAATTGTTCATGTTTTTGTGAATTGACTGGGCTCGGTTGGGTGGCTCTCACTTGGGGTTTCTCGTCTGGTTTCAGTCAGATGTCTCTGGGACTGCAGTTTTATGAAGGTTCAGCGGGGCCAGGCGAGGTGGTTCACTCACGTGACTGGCACTTGACACTGGTTGTCCACTTGGGACTCAGGCAGGGGCCATTGACTTACACGTGGCTTCTCCGTGTGACTTGGGTTTTCACAGCATGTTGGCTGGGTTTTGAAGAGGGAGGGAGTGTCCTAAAAGCAAGTGTTTAAGAGGCCCCCGGCAGAATTTGTTAAGTCTTCATATGACTTGGTCTGGAAGGTCTAAGAATGTCATTTCCGTTGTGTTCTATTGTTCAAGTCCAGGTTCAAGGGAAGGGAATTAGACTCCACCTCTTAATGTGGGAGTGGCATGCAGGCACAGGGAGGTAAGGAATTGACGATGGAATCTTTGGAGGCAAGCTGCCACTCACACCACATAGGACCACTTAGAAGAGTCCTGTGCTTCGTTCAATGCTCTGTTGTCATCATCTTGTAACTTTTAATAATTGTTAACAAGGAGCTCCTCTTTGCATTTTGCAACAGGCCTTGCAAGTTAGGTAACTTGTCCGGTACAGGACCCATTGTGAAGTATTTGGGCAGCATGGTGAGGGGTGGGCGTGTGCTGGGCTCTGGGCTCTGCAGATGGGGCTCCTGACTGTGGAGAACTTGCAGACGAGGTGAGGATACAACACTTATGGGAAACACTAGTAAATGACAATGTCTGAGCAGAAGTTAGGCTGTGATTGCCAAAGGAGGACCAAGATGGGGTGGGGGAGGATCCTCCTATTTTGCTTGTTGTCTTGGCCTCATATTCAGACTCTCAACCCATGTTGGGTAAAGCCTTCCTTCTCTTCCAGGAATTTTAGAAATGTCCTCTTCACTTCCCCCACCCTGACTCCTCCCTTACCCTTATTCCTGGGACCCTTGCCCTGAAGGCCTTGCAGGGAGGGGCTTTCCATCTGGGGACCGGCTCCTAGGGTGGGGGTAAGGGAGAAAGGGAGACGCTGGGGCACATGAACCTAATGCCCAGCTCAAGCTGAGATCTTGAGTGAGTCCCTGGAAGATGCCTGAAGGGAGCTGGGCCAAATGTGGTCAGGGTTTAGGGGAGGAGATAGAGGGAAGGGAAGAGGGGCTCTCTGGTCTCCTCCAGGGAGCATGGTGAGTTCTCTGGTGCCCTGGACAATGCCTCCCTCCTAGTCCTCAGCCAGATGCCTCACCATTCAGCAAGGCACAGGGCATGCCCCCCCCTTTTTTTCTTCCAGGGTAGGAAATGGCTCAAAGGGTCCCTCCCCCATTGCCTAATTAGGACACAAAGCCAGACAGCCCCTGAGGGTGGGCACCATCTCTTTACAAACACTGCCCAGTTTCCTTCAGGGGTATCTTCCTGCTGTGATGAGTGTACAAGATAACCTTCTGTGTGTACACAGTAACAGGGCATCCGGGGCTGATGATCCATTTCTATCTTTGTGAGACTGGGAGGTCTAAGGAGGGTGCTGCTCCTTGGGAAGGTAGTTCTAATATTTCCCTAAAACAGAGACACTTGCAACTGGTCTATCCAAGGCCTGGCTGGTCATTGTTCTTAGCTGGTGCTGGTCAATTGCCTATTTGCCCTCAGAATGGTTCCTTTACCTTGGCGGGCTGCTCTGCAGGATCTGTATTTCTCAGTCTCTTTGCCTTTTGGCTTCCAGGGAAGTCCACTCAGCTGGGGGGGGGGGGGTACCCTGGCAGAAGATGAGAAGGAGGGAGGAGGGGGAAAGGTGGGGCATTTCTTTCTCTCTGCTTCTTTTGGTGTCTTTGGCAGAATCTAGGTCCTTTCGTGGCTCCAGCTCCTATCAGATGACCCTTCTCTCTGTGGTTGCAGTTCCCACTGGACGGACTTTCTCACTTTCCTTTCTCCCTCTGGCCCTAGAGCGGAAGTGGCTTCTTGCCCTTGCTCCTGTCTGGATTATCTTATCATTCCTGCATGCTTCTTAGCTCTTTATCACTAGGTACCTATTATGTTTTCTCTAACTGCTAATGCTGGTCGTCTGCCTTTTATGGATCCAGGAATCCCTGGAGGTGAGGAAGGGTCCTGTGACCCTGGCTCCAGATGGAGTCTACAAAACTTAGCTCCAGGTGGATCCAAATGTTATGCACACCAGTAACCATATTCTAAACCTGAGAGCAAACTGAGAAGGCAGTTGGCCTGTTGCCACCAAGTTCAGGTCACTAGGGCTCCTTGGACCACCTTGCTCAGGAGGAAGAGGCCCAGCCATGACGGGGAAAGGGGATAGTATGGCTGAAGTGCATAGAGACTGGGGTGGGGGTGAGGTGTGCCCTGGTCACTGCTTTCTGCCCTTATGAGGTCCTCTGATGTGGTTTCCACTTTCATTGCTTGTGCTTTTATGCTTTGGAAGCTAGTGACTAAGAGTATGTGTGTGGGTTGATAAATAGTATAAAAATGTAGCTTAGGGGCTAACATAGATGCACAGTGTGAGGCTGACTGGCCTACATGGATGAATATGGATTAGGTTTCCGTATCTGCAGGGATGTGGGTCCAGCATAGATGAACCTCGAGCATGGCTCCCAAGGTCACTTGGTCTCCAAGACAAAGTCTTCAGGGTCATTGGGAAGACATGGGTCCAGAACAGAGTTTATGAAGCGTTGTTAGCTGGGCCTAAGAAAGAGACACATGGGAGCCAAACCCAAGGCAAGGGCTGTGGGGACCTTCACCTTCCTTCCTTAGTTGGGGTCCAGCTCCCTCCAGCCATCTTTACCACTGCAGCTCCCTCCACTGGGTACATGAGAGAAGCCTGTGGCCAAGTCACTGACCAAATGACAGTCTGGGGAGCTGTTGGTCCCTGATGGGCTGGGTTTTTCATTTAAAAAAGCTTGACCCTATCTATTTTAGTTCTTCCTTATTAGCAAGTAGGATCTGGGGGAGAGACACAACAGGAAAAAGGGCAAGAATCAGGAAAACTGGCGCTGTAGCTGGACAGAGAAAGAGAGAGAGAGAGAACGTACCCCACGATGACCTTCAGCTTCTCCCGCCTGCATCCTCATCGTGGGGCGAGCACACTCTCAGGCCTGCCCTGACTGCTCTGCTGAGTAGCCTGGCCTGGGCCCAAGGGTCACGGGTCAGGCTGGACCACGGTGGGACCTGCTCCACGAAGGCCTTCTCCCCTTCTGAAGGCTGGAGGCCAACCTCTGGCAATGCCCCCTCTCCCCCCCGCCTTTTTTTTTTTTTTTTTTTTTTCTGGGCCTGCAGCCTTGTCTTGATAATCTGTCTGGGGCCCTGCTTTATTCTCTGTGGCTTCTTCCCCACTAGATCCAGCGTCTGGTGGGTGCTGGGATCTGCTGAGGGACCTTCATGATGCTGTGTGTCTGCTTCGATTTCAGAATACCCCTCTGGAATTGCCCATTGCTGGGGCCCATCTGCTGGTAGGGACACCCTGTTCCCAAATGCTGGAAGATCTGCCGCTCCCTGCCCCCGCCACCGACAGTTGCTGAGCTGCCACCTGCTGTCTGTTTCCACACCCTTGCACACTGCATTCTGCTTGTCACTCTGGACGGCTGCCCGGCAGCTGCAGCTGAGGCTGTCCTGCCAGCACCTTCCCCAGCCCGATGGGTGGTCCCGGCCTGGCCTTGCCCTCCCAGCCTGCCTCATCTGCTGCGTGTACTGAGCCACATCTGGCTGGATACACTGCTGGAGTAGCCTGGATGGGCCCGGACACCTTGACCTTCAGAGAGATGGGCATCCTGCCTCAGGACCTCTTGGAGAGGGTCGGCTGTGGAACCCAACAGTACAAGACAATAATGATGATGACAGCTCATGTTTACTGAGGACTTATGAAGTAACAGGCTCAGTGATTTACCAACTTGATGTATACCTCGCCACTCTCCTGTAAAATAAGTATTATTATGTCCCCTTTTGACGGATGAAGAAACCAATGCTGCATGATATGAATGAATCCATGTGAAGGTCTCCCAGGGCATAATTTATGAAGCTAGGGTTAGGCACTTCTGCTTTTTGGTCCTGCTTTCTGGGCACCAGGAAGAAAAAAATAAGAGAAGTTGTTTTTAGCCTTTAGGTGATTAAGGCCCAAGAAAGCAGAAGGGCGGAGGGTAGACTGGACAGGCCTATGCTTAGGACAGGAGGGACAAATGAATAGAGCATCCCTCTTTGTCCAGCTGAAGGTGGCAGAAGGTGACACAGAATCAGGAACTTTCCTTCAAAGGGTGCGGATTGTAAATAATTGCCTGCCATGTCTTTGGAAGACTTTGGCCCCCAGTGGGAAGAACCTGCATTTGCCTTGGCTTCTGCCACCAGCTTCAGCTCCCCTTAGGAACACAAGATCCCCTATGTCCTACTGGATGCTACAGTGATGGGATCCAGCAACAGGGTTGTAGCTGCAAAATGGATCAGGTTTTGTGGGGTCCCACGGTTAGTTTTGGGGTCCTACCATGGTCCTGACTGCCCAAAGTGTGATTTTCAGATAGTCCAAATCATTCAAAAGGAAATTCTGCCTTTTGGTTTTGCCAAAGAGGGAGTTGTTTGGAAGGGGACTCCACGGTGGGGAATCCCACTCTGAGGGTGCCGTGAGGGCCGGTGGAGCCCAGGCACTATCCAAGTTACACAGGTGCGCCCCACATGGTGGGCCATGTGTGCGGCTGCCTGGGCTCTGGAACCTGCGGGGTCCTCCGTGCTTGGAATAGTCTGGATCTGCTGACTTGGCAAAAATGGGTGTGGGGGTTGGTCCACATCTGGAGGAGAGAGGGAAGGAGGCCCCAGTGGCCTGGGCCGTGGAGGGGCTTGCCAGCTTTGCCCACAGCCCTGAGCTCCCCCTTCTTTTTCCTCAACCACAAGAACAGTGTAATTCTCCTCATGTTAAAAGTAAACAGCTGGCAGCATCTGCCATGCTCAAAATAAACCAAGAACGAATAGGAGGCATTCGTAACCACAATAGGTCCTGGATAGGGAAGGAAGGGGTGGTTCACTATGTAAAATCCAAAGCTGGCTACTTGCGGAGCCTCAATTCATTTGTTTCATGATGGGTGGTTAATTAGTTGATCAATGCACAAGCTCCTAGAAGGTCCTGCTGGTGCCGTTTGCCATGGCTCCCGGGGCAGCTCCCATGGACATCACAGTAACCTTGTGGGGCCAGATGGTCCATGGTATAGCAGGGACTGGGAATGATGGTCAGGCCTGAGGTGTTAGCTGCCCCTTGCTGCGCGTCCGGGGTCAAAAAGCCAAGGACCTGGGAAGACTGGGAAAACGGTGTGGCAAACCAGTGCCGTCACACAGTAATATACACACTGACTCCTCAAGTCTGATCGACAGACTGGGCCTGGGCCTGGCTGGCAGCATCCGATAGCTCTGAGGGGCTCAGGGATGAGACTGGCCATATCTGAACAGCATCGAATCCTCTCCTCCCGGCACACTAAGTGTAAGCGCCAGACAGAAAAACAAATTAATATTACAAATGTCACAAGCTTTCATGGTCTGGAAAGAGAAAGGCTTCCAACAAGGGACCGATTCACAAGGCTTCGTAATTCTGGGGACTACCATCCTTCATCACCCTCATAAAAACAGCCAGAAGTGGCGTAGGGCTCACTGGAGAAGAACATGGGGAAGGTCGGGGTGCCTGAATGCCCAGAGATCAGGCAGTTGGCTGTAACTTCAGAAATGGGTTTTATGCTGGAGGTCACAAACTGGCTGTCAGCTGGCTGATTCCAGTAGGTAGACATGTACTCGTTGGCCCACAAATGCCTTTATTTTTGAATTTGAATTAGAGGCCAAAATGTGCCAATCAAGAGAATCACGCACGTGCGCGCGCGCACACACACACACACACACACACACACACACGAACCAAACCAAAAAAATCCCCACCAAAACCCTCATATTCCCTTGAAATACCTGTGCGCTCAGGCCTAAGCTCTCCAGATGGCATCAGGCAGCACAACTCCCTTCCCTCCCTGCTGCCTTCTACAGTCATTTGTGATTTCAACTCCAGTGTTAAGCCATCAAGCACGTTTTATGGATCAGGGAGTTAGTGGGGCTGACTTTCCAAAAGTCCAATTTAAATGAAGGTTATATAACAAAGTGGGAGAGAGAGATTTTGCTTCTACTTTAGGTGAAAAGATTGAGCTAGTCCTTTATTTCATTGAAACAATTATCTAATTAAAATCATTTGTTTTTTAATTAAGCAACATCACAACATACAAGAAAAGTTCCGGAAATTTAAAAAAAAGCTACTTGGGTTGTCATCCTTGCAAAATTTTTCCTCGTGTGTATTCCTTCCAGTCTTTTTTCACACGCATTTTTACATAGTTACATACGTGGGTGTGTATCCTGCTTTTTTCATTGAACACTGTAATTTACATATTTTATCCCATTGCTTTCTAATCCGCATTTTTTGTTATTCTAAATGTTTCAAGGAACATCCGCATGCATTTGGATCTTTTTGTATTTTGAAGTATTTGCTCAGAAGATAGTTTCAGAAGTAGCATGAATGGGTTATATATATAACAACTTGCATATTAAAGAGTTAACCTGGAAATTCCTAACCCACAAGTACCCTGTATAAGTCTCTTTATCTCAGCAAATCGTTGGAGAGGCTGTAGGAAAAAAAACCTCATTTCAGCATCTGTGATAGGATTGTGGGTAATTAAAAAAAATTGCAGCATGTGAAGTCCATTCCGGGAATAGCACTATCTTGAGACCCAAGTCAAATAGTACTAAATGTGCTAAGCAGAGGCCTGTGTTTAAAGAAGAAACTCATTTGCTCTTAATAACTGCAAAATGCTGCATAGCTCGACGATGGAGTCAGAAAACTCCGCAGAGCATCAAAGCCTGGTTCAAAAAGATATGGGAGGCCAAGATACAAGACAAACTGTCTTTCCCCATTAAAGCATCTTTGTGCCCTAAGTACAAGAGTCATTTCTTAGAACAATGGCTGCGTTTACAATTTTTTATTGATGGGAGGAAAAAAAATGGCTAAACAGGATCAGAGCGTTTAAAGGTATTCTATATCCTATAAACAACCTGAAGAGGGGTGTAAACAAGGTGATGTGTTATAAAATGAAACGTGATACAGATAACCTTACCACTGTCTTCTGTATGAGTTCCGCTGGCTAACAGTGTCTTAAATCTCTGAGTCGTGGAAAGCAAGCACCCTGTATTTTATTTTCATTTTGCCTACACGTCTTTCCTCAAATAAGTAAGAAGATCAACATCATGGAAGGGTGGGACGAAAGGAGAGCCTTTTCTAAAGACTGGCCTCCATGCCCAAGAACCTCAGGGTGCCTGAGGGCTTCTGGGAAATGGCCCACAAGTTTTGTTTCCATGTCGAGCCAGTCAGCAGCACCTCTCAGGGCAGGATTATGGAGTACTTGAGCAAGCCCCACATCCTGTGGAAAGGCAGCCTGTCTTTGGTGAGGAGAAATCGTGCCTCCCTAATCTACTAGAGCTCTTTGAAGGGCCAAATAAGTGTATGGATAAGGGGGAAACAGCAGACACACTCTATTTACACTTTCACGAAGCTTCTGACAGGCTCCCCGCCAAAGCCTGTTGAGTCGCCATGGAAATGGGGGGAATGTCTGGGGACCATAGAGAACTGGCTTAGAGATAAGAAAGACGGAGTAAGGATAAATAAGCCTCTCTCTGGATGGAGAAGTGTTATTGGTAGGGCTTCTGGTGGGGGAACTGATGCTCCTGAGGGTCCTGGTTAACTGGGTTAACTGGCCCTTAACGATTTGAGATGGGACCATCAGGCACTCTGCTTTGCCAAGCAAATCCCCTTCCTTGCCCTATCATGACAGCTCCTCTCACTTCGGAGTTTGTGACAGCTCTAGTGATGTTTTTTTGACATCTTTAGTGACATTGTGAGGTCCTGAAAGGCAGGGGCATGTCTGGTAATTCAGTATTCATTGCAGTGATTACTGCTTAAGAAATATTTTGTGGCCTGAGCCCTCGAGAGAGGGGGGAGTTGGACATTGAAATTGCCTGACTTGCTTATGATTGGGGGGGGGGGGCTCTTCTCTGTGGAGAAATCTCAACCAAAAGCTGTAAGCTGTGGGAGACGCAGGAGACTCGTGAATGGTCTGATGTTCAGCATAGGCAAGGGTAGGTTGAGGAAAGCATTAGGTGAAAGATAATTCAAATTGCACTCTAATGGTTGTTATTATACATTGCACAGGGAATACATATAGATGTGTATTGGTATATATGTCAGTTTCAAGAAGAGCAGTATAAACTACACTGTTGAGGATGGCAGATTTGAAGCTCTTAGCGCCAGCCCAAGAGTTTTGGGTCCCTATAATGAGGATCCCAGGTGTTCTGGGGCTCAATCCCAGAACCCTGGGATCCTCAATTCAGGGGGCACCTGGGTGGCTCAGTCGCTAAGCGTCTGCCTTCGGCTCAGGTCACGATCCCAGGGTTCTGGGATCGAGCCCCACATCGGGCTCCCTGCTCGGCGGGAAGCCTGCTTCTCCCTCTCCCACTCCCCCTGCTTGTCTGTCAAATAAATAAATAAAATCTTAAAAAAAAAAAAAAAAAGGTTACCGGGGGAAATAAAAGTCCTGCATGATAGACCCCAAAGGCGTCCTGAGAAAAGGTCAAGCTCTTTGGGGGACATCCTCACCCTTACAGGATGAGCCAGAGAGGCAGACCTGGTCTCCTTAAATTGCCTTTTGGGTTTTCTATCAAAGGCAGGTGTGGGTCTGGGAATTCTTCCCAAGGGGCGTGTGGATCTGAGACATCACTGACCTGGGTTCCGGGGGACGCTGTGCTCCCATGTGAGACAGTGGGGAAAGGGGAAGGAACACAGGCTTTCGGAGGCTAACATCCTGGCTCTTCACCTTCTGGGCCATCCCTTGTTTCAGAGCCGCCAGGGGGATTAAATGAGAAAGTAAGGGCACATAAAGGCAGCCTGGCCCTCTTCCTAGCCGACTGAGTAGTCTCATGCTCCGAGTCTACCAAGTCTTTTGCCGGCTCTGCCCCTGGGAGCAGGGGGCAACCAAGCTTTACATGCTTTGGGCTCCAGAAGCCAGAGAGTGAAAGCAAGAAGCCGTTGTCATGGATGGCGGGCGGGTGGGCACATTATCCTGAGGCCTCCTAATCCCATTTTCTGCTTTCGTGTTAATCCTCTTCCTCCTGTCGGCCACACACTCAACTCGCAGGGCACTGACCCAGAGAGCCCCGCTCTACCTCCTCCCCACGATGGCAGTGCTCCCTGTTGGGGGCGCTGGAGGTGGGGTGTGGGGACAGTCTGGCTGTGCCTCGGTTCTCCCCAGCCCACCTGGGTAGTCTTCCAGGCCAGGTCCCAGGTGAACCCCGAGGGCTCAGCTCACTCATAGCAACGACACATCAACCAGTATTTCCTAAACACGTACTGTTTGCGGACATTGGCTAAGACCCTTACTTACATAATTTCATTTGGTCCCTGTAACGCTCCTGTGAAGCAGATATGATTTATCTGGAATTTGCAGACGAGGAGACGGAGGCTCAGGGAGTTGTCGCAGCCCAGATGACACAGAGAGCAAAATGCAGGACGGGCCAAAATTCCTCCAGAGTCTCTTGGGGGACCAGTGGCAACGTGACCCCTCTCATGTTGCTTCCTGCTTCCCCAGCCCTGGAAAGGACCCACCTCTGGCTTCCCTCCTCTGGGACTATCACCCGAGGCTTCAGTTAGGTGAATGTATTTCTCCCATGCACAAGGCCCCGGGTATCATTCCACTCCACTGTGCAGCGGAGTAGAAAGAACATAGACTTTGGGGAAAGCGGGGGTGGTTCTGGCTTCCGCAGGAAGGAGACAAGATGTACCCAGGAACTGAACGTTTTCCAGGGAGACAGGTGGCTACACGGTGAACGGCCATTTGGGGGGAGGGGTGATTTTGCCTCAGGCTTTTTACTCACTGTCCCTTTCCTTTCAGGGCCACTCTGTCACCTCTCCATTCCTAGCTGCGAATACCCTTTATTCTGCAGGGCTGAGACTGGCCATTTTTCCTCCCAGGTATCTAGGTTCCGAGGCAAGGCTTGCTTGCTGAGGAAGAAGCAATCTACTATTGCCTCAGCCGCCCGTACCTGAGTCTTTCTAAAAAAGTTTAATGTGCTCTGGACCTCCATTTTATTTATTTTTTTATTTAGATTTTATTTATTTATTAAAGGTTTTATTTATTCATTCGAGACACAGAGATACAGAGAGAGAGAGAGCATGAGCAGGGGGAGAGGCAGAGGGAGAGGGAGAAGCAGGTTCCCCACCGAGCCAGGAGCCAGAAGCCAGACGTGGGGCTCGATCCCAGGACCCTGGGATCATGACCTAAGCCAAAGGCAGACACTTAACTATCTGAGCTGCCCAGGCGCCCCTAGATTTTATTTATTTATTTGAGAGTGAGAAAGCATGAGCGGGACGGGGGGCGCGGGTGCAGAGGGAGAGAGAGAAGCAGGCTCCCTGCTGAGCAGGGAGAGCAAGGCGGGGCTCAATTTAGGACACTAGGATCATGACCTGAGCAAAAGGCAGACACTTAACTGAGCCACCCAGGTGCCCCTGGACCTCCATTTTGGTCACCCACTCCAAGTAAGCAAGGGCTCCCTACGTCTCACTTAGATTGCTGCGATTCTCCCCTCTGGGACAGGCTTGAAGTTAGGGTGGGATTTGAATGCTTACTGAATCCCTTAGCAGCTGTCATCTAGGCTTCAGTTTTCAGGTCCATAAAATTGGAATGATAACTGTACTTTGCTGAGGCCAGCGCCTGCCCCTCTCCTCGGGCCACTTCTAGAAACTTCTAGAGCCTAGAAGGCAGTTCTGGGTTCATCTTCAGCCTTCTCTTTCCTCGCTGAGCCACACACTTCCTGGGCCCTATGGGCCTGTCTGCTGACTGTAATCAGGGTCTTGATTTCCCTCTGAGCTACACAGACCCTGCAGACTTCCCTGCCCCAGGCCCACGACACCTCCTTGGTCTCAGCGTAATGACATGGGTCCTACTGTCCTCAAATCCCACGTGCTGGTCGGCCGCTGGAGAGTAACAGAGGGCAGGGGAAATCTAACACTGGATGGCATGGGGCAGGCTACACGTGTTGTAGCGCGTGAATTCAGCTGAGGAAAGGGGTCTGGAGAGCTGAAGAAAGCAGAGGTCCTCCGTGGAAGGGTGGGACCTGAAGGGGATGAGCACGGCTGGGATCTGACTCGGTTGAGCCATGATATGAGCTGCTGTGGTAGCTCTGAGCTTCCCACAATCACCAAGTCCAGGAAGCCAAAGGCGAGATGTGGCACGTGTGGGCCAGGCATGGTGATAGGGAGGTGCAACCTTGAGCGTCTGAGCAGCATCCATGATTAGGATCCCAGAACTAAGATTGCCTCCTCAATCCCTTAGAACCACAGGGACATCTTGGACATGAGAACTTACAACAACCATGTCTGCTGAGGAGAAATCGGGTTCTGAGTTAAAGTTTGGTTACACTTTTTAAAGCCCTTAAAGGTTTGTGTGCTTTGAAAATATTCTAGAAGCAGAATGAGTGTACAGGAGAGAAGATGCAGGATTTCAAGTTAGAAGATGTGTAACAGATATGTTGGGTTCCCTCTGGCCTCAGTGTGATTGACTGTCAACCCTTAGGTCCTCACTTTCCCCTCTGGGTTTCCACACACTTGGGTCTTCCCTTGCTAGACCCTCCCTCCTAAAGCCCAGGTAGAGGGGGCTGGTCTTTCTATAGACCTTCCTTTCTCCCCACTTTCCATATATTTTATGCTCAGAGAAAAGCTCAGGAAAACAAATTGCCCATTAGCTTGTGGTGGGCAGTGGTGATGATGACCAGGTCCAACCCCAAATGGGACAAAGCTGACCTGACTACAGGTTGCTCAGAGCCCTGCAACCTGACTGTGGCTGACATCCCACCATTAGGACACCAGTCCTTTGGGTAAAAGCTCTGTA